ACATTTCCGGCATCTTCTTTTATGTAAATTTGGTAGAAGAGTGAAAGCTCTGAAGGCCTTCAATACTTTTATTCTATTTACAGATAGGGCTCTTCAGCTAACAGAAAAGCACAAAAGTGGTCTGCGTCTTTCAAAAAGGGTGACTTCAGTAAAAAGGACGCTTTGCGTTCTGGATGGGAGTCTGCCTTTGATAAAGATCGGTCACTTTGTCAAGCAGTTATTGGTCCTCCGGTGATGATTCAGTTCGCAGAAGTCAGCCTTCAAAAACTAAGTTTAACGATATGAATTTAGTGAAGATTGCGAACGTTTGGCGTTGACAGAAGCTTCTCAGGGTAGGAGATATGACTAAAATCTCACGTTCGAACGCACTCTACCGAGGCTCAACAGGCGAGAGTTCCATCAAAAATAAAATAATCAGATAAAACCTGGGAGAGGACTCATTGCCACGCCACCAACAACATTGAAACGCTGGACATTGGATTGTTTAGTCCTACAGCATGGGTGGGAGTCAGAAGATTCGTATAATGTAGACGGGCCTTGGTGCGCCAAAATTCAATGTAAAGTTCAGGTGCAGAGTCAAAAGAATCCTCGCGACCAACGATGTGATTGATCAGTGGGTGATAGTCCCCGCATACCTAGGCGGTAAATCTGACCATATCCAAGAGTCACTGATGTTGAACCATGGAGCCTTTGGAAAAGTACGTCAATGACCACTACCTATGCAAGGAAGTATAAGGATTGGAATAGCCTATTGTGTGACATATAATCCCCAGTGATATAGATCTTAAGACACATTTAAAAGGGTGGCGGACAACACAAGACTGCTGGAAACAGTCGAACGAGGAGTGAAATACTTGTTTTGTAACTGGTGCATTTCTTATCACGCGGAAAAGGGAGACCACATAGAATGTAATCCGTGAAACGTTGAATTGTTTATGGCGTTTCGTGGGGCACTGAAATACATCCGAATAACCCCAAGCAAACCGAAGTATATTTCGAGAAGCAGTGGGGGCGTGGCGAGAAACCCATTTCAAGATTACCTTTGAAAATAGGATCTCCCCAGGTAGATCACTAGGTGCTGATGAGGAATGCTTTCACTCCTCAACGTTCTCAACTCACCATAGGGACACATACGCTCGCCCGTAGCCTCAGATCAGTGTACAGCGAAGACGCCTAGGTGCTGTTAGATTTTCAAATAGCATTTGGCTGCAACATGCGATCGATGTCTATTTTGTTTATTGTCAGAACCACAGAAGACAGACGGGCCGTTAACTCTGGTCTGCTGAACACTCTCATGAATACGGACAAAGGCTGAGGTGTGGGGCTTCGTAAGGCTGGGATAACCGACAAGGATTTAGCAAAATTACGATCAAATCTGGAGTTCAGAATGGAGGGTCGATCGCAAAGCAGTTGACCGGGCAAACCCCTAGATGATAGGGTAGTCTTTTGGCCACAATGATGATGTCGCCTGTCACTAACCAAAAATCGATGGTAACCAGAATATTAACATTTAAAATGTCGGACGGAGAATGGGACACCTCGAAGACACAGGGTTGAAGACACCCTCAACGAAAGGCGGTCAGTGGGAGGCAGAAGTATGTGATATTTGTTGCCTGCAGAAGAAGGCGGGTGATTGGACAACATCGGGCAGCTGTGGTCGCTGGGCTGTGATTACGCGAGCGCCAACATTGACTAATGAAGACCTGTCACTCTTAGAGTCGCAGTCGTAGGAAGTGTGATCGGTAGGGTTGCTAGAGAGAACGGTTTTTTTCCGGCTATTCAGACCAACATCTTCCTTTCATGTTCATGCCTAGATGGTATAAAGCGAGCACATCTTGTCGACATTAATCGCAAATTGATGGATAAGCGTCTCTTATCTCAGTTGATGAAATCAAAAACATAGCATTCAAGGTTTTTCGTCATTTTCATCATTTCATACATATTTTTACGCCCTCCAAAGTAATATTTTAAGGGTCCTTATTGTTGTTTTAAAAAACGCCTCTGCTTTGCGTGTCAGGACTAATAAGAAACAATAATCTGAAAGATTCAAAGAAAACAGGCATGCCTTTTTCGTGCATCTAACCAAATGCATGCGGGTTAGGGGCTCAAATGATTTCGGATCGCTTATTGAAAGCAAGCTCAGATGTCCTATTGGGATCCTTGAGACCCTCATGCAATATTTCGCTATCATCATGAACTCCGAAGAACCGGATCCCTCTCAATGGAACTGCTCACGAACATGGCAAGGCGAGTGATGGGATTTCTCCTGGAACAGAAGAACAAGTAGCTTTGAGTCGGCAGCATGCATATCTTCCCCAGTGACTGATTGCAGTTTTGGTAATAATCGCAAACAGTAAAAGGACCATGATTGAGGTCAGTTCAGGGAGTGCTGCTTGCAATCAGGTGGAGTCCTTAGTTCCCACAGTAGCTTTCTCCGCGTAAACCACATCTGCTATCTTTGACTGCCAACACTGTTATTCTCATCTTTAATGCTTGCTGACTAGTGCATTTCATACTTTAGTAGATGCAGGCAATCGCAAGAAAGCTCCTCCCCCTACTAAATTTTTTTAAAAGCTTGGAAGGACATACCCGCCATCTAGCCCGGACTGACTGTTTTCTTCCCATGTGGCGTTTGGATCGTAAAGGCTGCGCATTGTCGTTCTTGCGAGTTTTGCGACTCTGACACACAAACTGACTGAGATTTCTGCCTTCACACTTCTCCGTAGCACTGCCTAGTGTGTCGGAGACTCCTCGAAAGATTACATGCCAATTTCGCTGAAGAGTAGCTAATGACGTGACCCATCATGAGCACTGCTGGCAGAGAAAAGGCGTCGGAGAGCAAAAATGCATTTCTGCACGTGCAGTGACACAGACACCGACCTGATCACTTACTTCGAGCCAAAAGGGCGTTGTCTGGAGTTTATGGCTTCTTAGTCACCTGCCCTGAATGCTACACCCTCAACCGCTAAAAGGGTACACCCGGATTTCACTAAGAGATTTTTTTTCGCTCGACCTCCATACAATTCAGTCTGGCTACGATTTTAAACTTTTAGTATTCTCTTCAAGTCACAGAAAACGAGGCTGAAAAACACGCACTGAACCACCAGCTACCTGCAGGATAAATGCGCTAGGATTCAACTGGACTGCGAACGGCGAGCGTTCTGAATGTATCTCTGCGGGTCTCTAGGTCATCTTTAACTGGCTAAAAGACAAAATGGTAGAAGCTTAGTGTGGGTAGTCGGTAGCATCTTCAAAGCAAATTTGAAATCCAAAGGAGTGAAAATGTGACTGTCTAGTAGCATGGAAGCGGAAGAGGCCTTAACTAGCTTATGTTTATTAGGCGTCCGATACTATGAGGTGCGAATTAAGTTACCTATCTTGAGAGGCGGGAGATATCGTCCACTGCCACCGTTTAGACGACACCTGAGTCACGCATCAACGGATTCGGTGGAACTTCCGCCTCATTGCACAGGTGATAATTTACTTCGGAAATGTTACAGGCCTCTTCATATAGCTTTACTTTGAGATAATCCGTGGCATGAATTCACACGAGCCGAAGGAGATATAAATACCACAAAAACTCTCACCGATACCGACATATGGCTAATGACCAGTCTGGGTAGTTAGGAGTGAACTATAGATTGTAGGGGTTGCAGCGAAAGGAAGCCTATGAATGAACTTCAGAAATTCACTAATGGACAGATAAAATCTGAAATTTTGCATAGTTTTCGGCATTCATATTGAAGGAGAGAGAATAACAGGCAATCAGAAATGTTTGCGTAAAGTTAACAAAAAAGCGAATGCATAGCCTTGTATGCCGTTCGTTTTTTAGGCTAACGGCGAACGGCTTTAATTCAGAACTTCGACAGGGACAGTAAAGTTTGCTACAACCGCGATTTTGAAAGAACTGCACTCATTTTGAATTAAGCCACAAAATGAGAACTCCAGTAACTTTGAATGCTGATAACAGCGAGGTCACTGAAATCACGCTAGCAGTGCATAATCTTCCAGCGCTTAAAGCCTCCTGAGAACCGCTCATCGATCATGTGTAAACATTTAAGCTTAATTTCCAAGAACGTCCGAGGGTCGTTATTTTGTTCACACTAACAGAAAGCAGTACGCAAATCTCAACTCTGTATACACCCTAAATATGAAATGCCCACAAAATCCGACGAACAGAGGCCATGCTGGGACGTTGCTGCCCTGGGAATATGTTGTAGACGAGCCTCCTCCTTGTCTTATGGTTCCTGCAGTACTTAGCTGCGAAGTTGTTGCTTCCTCCGCAATATCCTTCGTCGTGAAGCCATCTTGTGGTCTTGAATCGGATAACTCGTTGCCGCCATCCATTTCTCATTCGCAATAATCCAAGCAAGAATGTTAAAGTGACAGACTTACAGAAGTAAGTTGCGGTAGAAGATTCGCCCATAAAAATAGCGAGTACAAAATAATCGAACGGGTGTAGTAGACAGTTAACCGTTGAGAGTCGAAGAGCAAGATACGAACAGGGTCATCTTCTGAGTCACACTTGGTTCATGAAAATCGCCTATAAGACAAAGAGAGGCACGCCTGTACTTCCACCCTTTCAAGAAACCCGCCTTTCTGTTTTTTTTTTTAGCAAAACCAATGTTTCCCGCCGTTACGAATGGTTTTCGGTGTCAAGGTAGTAATACCAGTGACGATAATATTGCTTTTAGCTGGAGAATCGGAGAAGAAGTACTTACCAGGTAAACAGGTTCGTCGCGCACCGTCTTCTTCACTGCCAGGTGCACAACAGTGAGAACACCCACCGATTGGTCGATTTGCTCCACCCGCGCCTGCAGACTGTCATCCGACATTTCATAGCAAACCCACATATAAATATAGGCAATGGGGAAGGAGAGTAGGACATAGAAGACAGAATGAAACACGTAACGGAATCCTACGTTAGTTGTCAACACCGGCTTGCCGACAAAATACGGCTGACTGGTCACCGAACAGTGCGAAACCTAATCAGAGAGGCCATGGGCACATTGATCTTTGTGGCTTTTGCAACCGGTGTCGTTGCCCAGACCTATCTTACAGAGGGCGGCTTCGGTCTAATGCTAGATCTGAGCGTGGGCTATGCAGCCGCCTGGATTCTCGGTAATTGCATCGCCGGTTCGGAGAGCATGACCTTCCTAAACCCCGCGTTGGGTCTTGCAAACGCCCTTGTCGGACGACTGAACTTCATCAAAATGCTCCTTTACTGGCTGGCAGAGCTAATTGGCGGTTTCCTTGGAGGATTACTCGTCATATTGATATACTGGGAGAAGATACAATCTTTTGCGCAAAAATTTGACGGTGGGGAGCTCCGAATGAACACTACGGGTAGCGTGTTGGTGGGCTCTGTTAACGCAGATCTGGTGACCCTATTTATCGACCAACTTATTGTCGGCAGCGTCAGCATAATTGGCATGATGGCGGCAATAGACAAAAATAATTGGAACCTGCCGCGATCCATGATTATCTTCTATGGATCGTTGTTGCAGTTTCTCAAGTACAACGACTTCTCCGTGAACACCTCTGCGAGCAGCAATCCAGCTCTCGACTTGGGACCCCGGCTGGCACTACTCTGCACCGGTAAGTATCTCTACTCGAAGTGTTAGCAGACAACAACAACAACAACAACGATGTGCCACCCCGAATTCGCACAGCATGGTTTAAGAGAAGGCTGTTGCACTCATTTTTTTACGCCGCTTGTATTAGCATAAATTCGTTCATCAAGATCCTGGAACAGAGAATTGAAACAAAATGCACTGGCACCCCCAGACAAATATCATTCTGCAAACGGCATTTGAAGAAAAAACATAACGATTATGAACTTTAAACGTCCTAAAAACCAGTTTCAAAAATCTACTGATATAGCCAAGTCGGCTAATAATTACTTTTTCCTAATGCAGTTTTCAGTAAGGGATAATGCTGGATAGTGCAAGGAGTGTAGGTTTCAACGCGTAAATATTCAGAATGCAGTTTCTTAAGGACCTCCCGGAATTTTAATCTTTGCGTTTACAAACCAGGCTTTTTCGTTTAGTGAAAAAGGTCCCAGGAAATCTGGGCATAGTAGATTAGATCATTTAAAATACTTTGATTTAAGAGACAAACCGCCTTTAGCAGGATATCCCTAAAAAAAACGCGGCAACTGCCACCCCGGTCTATATAAATTATGTTGATCAGGAACAACTTACTCTATGACGGTTTCATGTACCCAAATCCAAAATGTCCTTTCTTTCGACCGACACGCACTACGTGAAGGAGGATTGGTACGGTCCGGTGGCTTCCGTACCTGCATCCTCATCGAACGAACTGCCTGACAACGCAAAAACCTCGCCAGTACCGTTACTACACCCTTTAAGGTCGTCGAGATCAAAAACGTATTCCAGCGTCTGTACGATGTCTTTGTACGGCACAGCCAATGCCTGAGCCCACAAGAACATGTCGTAGGGAGCGTCAACTACATGTGCCCGTTCAGTCCCGATCTGTTACAGCAAGCTTTCTTAGTAGCCTGACTGCGTTGGAATCATCAGAAAAAAAACTATATGATTACCTTGGCTCTTAATGTACTTTACTTTTTAGGTTGGGGAACAAACGCTTTTTCGTACGGCAACTACGCCTTCGTTGTCTTCCTCTTCACACCCTTCTTGAGTGCCATTATAGGCACACTAATGTACGAACTTCTGATTGGCATTCATCTTCCGGGAGCTGGTGAACATTCCCGGAAACCGGATGGGACGCCACGGATCGAAAGTCGAAATTCCGATGAATAAACAGGACAATTTTTATTTTTTATTTTTTTAAATGAAAAATGCCACATGTAACAATCCCTATTTATTGCAGCTTTTACCTGCATACCCACTTCTCAAGATTAAACACCACTACTTTACATGACAAACAAAACGATTTTTTCATGATGGTATTTCACATTTAAGCAGATTAGTTATCTTATAAATAGGACCGAAATCCTTACCCAGTAGTTGCTGTCATAGTTGTTATGTTGTCAATGTATATCTGGGGTACTGTTCAGCCACACTGTAGGAGAGACAGTTAAGTTAAAAAGTAGTAGACAGAACAGTCCACGAGAAAAACGTTTGAAAGTGCAGGGGAGAGGACTCAAATCAAGACGAAAGTGTTAGTTGGGCAATGCTGAGGAATGTTTCGAAGACTTTGGGGCTTCAAAACAACATACCGCATGGGAAAGTAATAGCGCGTCTCACGGGCTATTAACTCTATACTCTCGTATCCTCTATCGGCTTGCTTGCGTGATCTTGTCAAGTAGGGGATTACGTATCCAATGGCTCACAACACCCTAGGTGAAGACAGACACGGAATACCACACGAGAGAATATTCAAGTGCGAGGTTGACCGTCAGCTCGACCACAGTAAGCAGCACTAACTAAGAACTCGGGGCTGGTTACGAAGCTGAGCCGTACTCTCAAGCAGGCTATTCTCCCATAAAAAGACCATCATTTCCTCACTCCTCTCATAAATGAATGCGTTGCCATAGAGCAAGAAATCAAACATCTGGGCAGTTGAAGAAGCATGATTTTTTGTTCTTCATTAATTGGCGTATGTTGACAGATTTGAATAATTCGTTAGACTTAATTGCGAAAAAATCGGTGGCAACAGTGATATACGAACACATGGCAGTAAGTCATTGTGTGAGTAGACTGGACGCTCTAACCACTGCAGCTATGAAGAGCGGGCGTTTTGATTTTAAACACAAATACATGAGAATGAATTATCAATAGTAGTGAAAATCCGATTCCCAGGTGGCATATCAAAAGAAGAGGGGGCGTTCACCGGGAGGGGTTTATTTGAGATCCGACGTTTCGGGTAGTTTATTCGTCTACCCATCTTCAGGGACTGGGAGGTCCTGTGCACAGCACTCCTTATTATGGCGCCCTTTGTCCAATGCGTGATCCGCCAATGCCGCATGTGTGGCTGCATGCAACCCGCATGTCACCGTGACCTGACTCGCCCCCGTCGGCCGCGGTGATGACTGACGGCCCCGATTGTCCCGCGCCGTGACTGTCCCCCGCTAAGAAGGTTCGTAAAGTCAGATAAGGGGGAGGCAAATTGATGTGGCGGTTGACAGAGCGGTCGGTGGACATCCAGGCTTCTTTCAATTGCCTTGCTGTGTGATCGCTGCCCGGCCCACAATCTCAACGGCGTCAAAGTTGAAGATGTGTCCCATTTGCGCGGCATGGGTTGCTACCTCCGACTTTGGGTCTAACCTTCGCACGACCAACTTATGCTCGTGCATTCACGTTTGCAGCCGTCGGCCGGTTTCCCCAACGTAGTTGCAACTTCCGCAGCTGCATTGAAGTCGGTAGACAACGGCCGACATCTCCTGCTTTGGGATCGGATCTTTCGGCCGCATCACTTGCCGGCGGATTGTTGAGTCAGGCCTGTGGGCAACACCTATTTCGAGTGGCGCGAGTGATCGAGCCACGACTTCGGAGACCCATTGGACCCATTGGACCGTATTGGACAAAGGGCGCCATAATAAGGAGTGCTGTGCACAGGACCTCCCAGTCCCTGAAGATGGGTAGACGAATAAACTACCCGAAAAGTCGGATCTCAAATAAACCCCTCCCGGTGAACGTCCCCTCTTCTTTTAATGAATGAATTATTTAAGTCTGCCGAAAGATACCTAGTATGCGAGTAGGCCTGACAGCCATAGGGTGGAATTTAGATTTATTGTGCAGTAAATCCAAGTTGGGCAGTCAGCTTGCTATATTAGCATTCGTGGATGTCATACGTTGCAGTACGCTGGGTGGGTTACTTAATGAAATGTAATTGATCACATTCTTCCTGGCTAGAGCTTCCTATCTCAGATGGCTAGACTATTGGCTGCGTTTAAACCTTCTAATTGCTGTCGTGGCTTGTATTCAACCAACGTCGCAGTTTTCCAAGAATTTTCCCAAACAAACTGCCTGTTTCGTCTACAGCCTTCTCCTGGAAGTTCATGGGGAAACGCACTGCTCATGTTAGCTTAATTAAATATTTACATTCATGATAAGGAGAAGGTTCTTCGGAAAATCGAGTTGTACTTGTAAATTTTCACGTCAGTGACTCGGACCCGTCGTCAGACGAAATGAACAGAGGGAAAAGTGAAATCGGCAGACCAGGTCGGCTGGCGTGACAGGAAAGACAAAG